GTCCATCAGTAGATGAATGGATAAAGAAGAGTTGGTACATACACACAATGGCATATTACTCTGCCATAAGAAGAAAACAAATCCTACCATTTGCAACAACATGGATGGAGCTAGAGGGTATTATGCTCAGTGAAATAAGCCAGGTGGAGAAAGACAAGTATCAAATGATTTCACTCATCTGTGGAGTATAAGAACAAAGAAAAAAACTGAAGGAACAAAACAGTAGCAGACTCACAGAACCCAAGAATGGACTAACAGTTACCAAAGGGAAAGGGACTGGAGAGGATGGGTGGGAAGGGAGGAACAAGAGGGGAAAGGGGGCATTACTATTAGCAGACATAATGTAGGGGAGGCACAGGAGGGCTGTACAACACCAAGAAGACAGGTAGTGAGTCTATAGCATCTTACTACGCTGATGGACAGTGACTGTAATGGGGTATGTGGGTGGGGGGGAACTTGGTGATAGGGGGAGTCTAGTAAACAAAATGTTTCCCATGTAATTGTAGATTAATGATACCAAAATTTTAAAAAATAGGATTGTTAATTGGACATGGTGGAAATGAATGCTACATTGAATAACCATGAAAAGATGAAAGATGAATATTATTATAATATTAGTAATACTGGAGTTGCTAACTGCAATCCTTCAGATTGACCAACATCCCTGATGGGTAGGGTCTCTAGCATAAAGAAGCACCAAAGTTATAATTCTTCTGTGAAGCATCAAGGATCTGCTAGGCTGGAATCAACTACCTGACCGTCTCCACCTCCCTGACACCTGGTACCGCCTGATCCTGGGAGGAGGGCAGAGGAGTAGGAAAGAATCAAGGAGAGAGACCAGTGGCAAAAAGAACTGTGGGCACCAGGCAAGGCTCACAAATCTGTGAAATCAAAGGGAAACCCAATGTGAAGAAGAAAGAAATGTTTTCTGCCATCCTCAGTACTGTGTATGCTCACAGCTGACGACATAAGGGTGATTGTTTTATTTCTGGTAATGAAATCTCTCAGTGCACTCAAGGCATACCAGGGGGATGATGAACTTAACAGCCACCATTTATTTATTCGTTGTGTACTTTCTCTGCCCAGACGCTAGTCTAAATCCTCTACATTCCTACATTATCTAAACTTGAGATGATATATTAGTTATCTGCTACCCCAATATTCAGCGGTTTCAAACAATGAACATTTATTATCTCACTCAGTTTCTGTGGGTCAGAACCTGAGAATGGCCTTGCTGGTGGCTCCGGCACAGTGGCTCTAGTGAGGCTGCTGCCATCTGAAGCCTCCGCCAGGGTTGGAGGATCCTCGCTTGCATGCCTGGCAAGGCAGGGCGGACTGTTGAGAGGAGGTCTCCATTCCTCTCCATGGGGACTGCCCCAGCACAGAGCTGTCGGAGTGTCCTCACAGCATGGCAGCTGGCCGCCCCCGGAGAACAGATTCAAGAGACAGCAAGCTGCCATGTGTTTCATAATCTTGCAGCAGACATCACATTCAGTCATTTCTACAATATCCTATTTACACAGGTCATCCCTTTTCTGTGTAGGAAATGCCTATATAAGGGCATGAATATCAGGAAGCGAGATTTGGGGGGAACATCTTAAAGTCCGATGACTTCAGACATATGCTTATCTCCATTTTACAATAAAGGAAACTGAGGCACAGGAAGATAAGTCATTTTTCCCAAAGACACAGAGCTGGTGTGTGGCAGGGTTGGGATTTGAACCCTTGTGTCATTGACTCCAAACTCCAACACCATGCAGAGGGAGCACTGAAGCCTGTACCATGCTTAGGTGAAGAAGTGGATTGGGTATTTAGCAGTACTTAAGGAACAATGCATTTATGCCTGATGGCCTAGCAACCCAACACCCACTCATGACACTGATCCCATGGCAAATTATCTTCTAAATTCCAGATATCCAGTCGGCACATTTTGGAGCCCAACCGTCTGGTAAAATGAGAATTGCTTGCATCATCAAATTCCAGGCAGTCATCTGCAGTGAGTAATAATAATGTGTACTTAACGTACAGCAAAACTCTCAGTGATTTATATCCACCAAATTTTTAATGGGTCAATTATGAATGTTCTATTTTGGAGGAATAACTATGCCCAGCATTCTCTTTCTACATATCAATAACTTTGGAAGTTTCTTCCAACTCTAAAATTTCCTGATTCTTTGATTACAGGAAATTAAACTATTTTATTTACTCACTACTTCTTCATTTCCTATAATATGCAAGGCTACTCACTACCAAGAGAACTAGTTGAGAAAATTAAAATTAGAATTGTGAAAGCCAGAGAGAAGCCCATTTTATTCATCAAAATTCAAAACCCTATAGAAATGCTCCTTGATTTTGGTGTGAATACTTCATGCAATAGTTTGTATGTCTCTTGTTTCTTCTGCCAGCCTCTTCCAGTCTCCATTCTGAGAGCAAGAGAAACAAATTTTTTACCAGTTTGTCTGGATGAACATTTTCACACATCTGTAAGAGAACAATAATTAAGATTCATAAGAAAGTTTCCAAGGCACACAGAATCCTGAAATGTCTTCTGATTTGCCAAAGGAAAAGTAATTATGTGATAAAATCAAGTATACTTTGATGTGTTTTGAAAACTAATATATATATATATGTGATAATAATTACTTGGCAAAGGTTTAATTCATCCAGATGCTCCATTCTTTACCTACACAAGATAGTGAACAACTTACTGTTTAAGGGGACAGCTAAGGTTATACTAATAAACAGTGAAATTTAAGTGACTCTCTCACCTCCAAGCCACTTTCTTGAAGAACAATTTTAGATGCTAAATTTATTATGCTTTCCATTGTTCTTTTTTTTTTTTACATTACATACCTCCAAACATTTGGCCCTTTTATCTGTGATTCTTTTATTTAAAAAAAAAAATTTATAAAGATAACTGCCCCCTCGGAAGCTGTAAGTCAGAAAGTGAGAATAGCTGAGTTGACAACCAGTTTGATAAACACTGGACATTACAATAAAATGTGCAGTGGGTGGGGAATGTGAACTTGTCCTTCAATGAAAAACATGTGATGCCCTCAGCATGTGCCAGACACTATATGCCCTGCCTCCACTGCCACCCCTCTGTCCTAAGACACTTTTAGGCCAATGGTCCTCAACCGTTTTTATTGTAAACTTACTGAAAATTTTTTAAAAACTCTGTCTCTCCCCCATCCAAACATTGTTAGCTTGACATCTACATATTGCCATCATAACTTTAAATGGTTGAAAAACAAGGCAACTTCTGGCATATTGAAAAAATTAATAGTTAAGTTAAAATGTTACTTCCTTTGGTAACCAATAGCCAGCTATTCCTTAATACATCCAGGGTATCATGCCCTTTTCTGCTTCTCCCTCCTATTTTGTCCTTTTCTTTTTAACTGAGATACCTCTCAAGAAGTAACTAACCACATGGATAAGTATTTGTTTACCCTTTATCTGCAGTCAAACTTTCTGTTTCTGACACATTGATCTTGACTCACTTTCAGTGAAAAGCCTGATAATGGATAATGTATTCATATTGATGCTGGTACACTGCTATGTAGGTGAAACCCTAACACCATAGCTGACATTGGTCATTGTGGGTAAAATTGCAATATTTCCAGAATCTCTCACCTGGCCTTTAATGCATCTCCATATCAATAGGTAATTACAAGGGAGAGCCAGGGTATATGTGGACCGGAGAGGTTGGGTGGGGCCCCATTTTGCAGCTGGGTCACTAGAGACACAGGTGAGCAGAAGTGGATGACTGCTTGTAAACAATAAATGAGTTTTTCCCACTTTATTTCTCCGTTTGACTGATTTTGTTTTCAAAGGTATTTTTCCCCCAGGCTGGAAAACATTCTCCCCCTGGAGTTACAGTCACCTTGGGTATCCTCCATTGTTTAGTATCTGTTCAATTCTTTGCCCACTTTTCTGTTGCGGTGTCCAAATTTTCCTTATCAACTTATAGAAATTACATATTCTGAACATGAGGCCACTGATAGACAAAAATATTGCACATTATCTTTTCCTACTCTGTTGGCCTTTTTTACTCTTTGGATACTCCTTTGGTGAATGGATAGTCTAGATTTTGATGTAGTTCAATTTTTCAATGTGTAACCTATTTAAGAAAGCTTTTCTAATCCCAAGGATATAAAGATAGTCTATGATGTTTTCTTCTAAAAATTGTATTGCTTTCCTTTTCACATTTAGATCAACAATCCACCTGAAGCTGGTTTTTGTGTAAGGTAGGGAAGGTAAATGTAATTTCCTGGCACCGGAGTGCGGTGGTGGTAAATCAGTGCCTACTGCTACAAAGGATTGCTAGTAATAGAAACAGGGTAAACATAGCCTTCTGTTCTTCCCTTGACTTGGCTGTACCTTGAGTTCTTCAGAGCTAGAACAAGCACAGAAGAACTCTGAGTTTTTCTTTATTTGTCAGTTTTTTAGGGGAAAACTGAGTGTTACAGGACTTCAGAGTCAGAAAGGGAAAAGCCTTTTAGAGCAGATCTCCCCCTTTTCCCCACACTAAATCCAAGCTTTCCCCAACTGGTTGCCCCTACTCTGAAATATAAGCCTTGACATTAATAAGAGGCAATTTTGTGACCATCAGTGATCAGTGCAGCAGAGGTGGCCAAACATCTCCCCTAAGTTATTCATATGCAAACAGCTGATCCTCACAGGAGAGATTTTCATCTCAACAAGGCACCCAGCACCATTCTCCCTTCTTCTTCACCCCTGCATGGGCTTGATGGAGTGCACTTCCTAGATATTCTTAAGAAAAACTATTGACTTACAAATAGGACAAGAAAAGGGAATTGATGAGGAAGTAGGAGAAGCTCTGGCTTGTGAATAAGGACACCTCACTTCTAGTGCTGAGACTTAAGCAGGCACTCAACTTCCCTGAGCCATGTTTCCTTAACTGTGAAATGAGGGGATGAGCAATCTCAATAGTCCCTTCAATATTGTATGATTCGATGAGATTCAAAAAAAACCTAAGTCTAGCATGGTAAAAATTAGTATATCCTTGGAAGGGGGAATGCATTATCCTGTCTACCATACCCACTATATAGACTTAGTGTTTGGAAGCGAAGGAAACATGCCACAGGAAGCCATACAACTACTCATGTACTTTCGAAGGTTATTCACTTTTCTCTCAGCTTCCATTTGCCCTTCTGTACAATGAGGTGGTAGCAGAAGCTGCTTTTAAAGTCTCTTCTAGTCCCAGTACTCTGTGGTCCTAGAGCTGTACTGTCCAGAACAGCAGCCACTAGCTACATGTGACTGTTGAGCCTTTGAAATGTGGCTAGTGCCAAATATCAAAATGATAATCTTTTTGACATGTTGGGTTAAATAAAACTTCTCTGTTTCATTTAAAAATATTTTAATATGGCTACTAGAAAATTTTAAATTACATGTATGGCCCCTCTTATATTTCCCTTGAGCTGCACTGTTGTAGACTAGCCTACCATTTACAATGGGAATCTGGACTGTGATATTCTGAGAAAGAGCATCTAGCCCAAGGATGGCAAATACATATTGTGCATGACAGCACTCCCCTTTCAACTTCTGTGACAACACTCACCAACCTTACTATTTACACTGTATCAGGATTTAGCCTCAGGATCCTCCTCAACACAGTGCTCTAGGTGGTCACCAGCAGTTGATCAGAATTGGCACTTCTGTCATTTGAGACTCATTTTGTTGCAACTAACAGAAAACCCAACCCAAGGAAAAATGTTGGCTCATGTCATAAGAATTCAGGGTGCATCAGCCTTCAAGCACACAAAGATCAGGACTTCCCTCCTTCTCTCAGGTCTGCCTTCTTCTTTGTGTAACTCCAGGGAAAGGAAATTCCAGGGAAAATACCTCTAAAACCGAAATCAGTCAAAGGGAGAAATAAAACTTAAAACCAGTTTATTGCTTACAAACTGCAGTCTGGGGCCGTCTCTCTTTCCTGCTTGGGTGGAAGCAAACAAGATCTCCCCCTAACCTCTCAGGTTCAGCTAATCCCTCGGTTGCCCAGGTAATTACCCATTGATATTGAGATGAAACGTCTCTCCACCCCCTGAGGAACACCTATTGATAATTGATATGCAGATGACTAAAGCCAGGAGAGATATTCTGGAAAAATTACAATTTACCCACACATGTCAGCTTCATTCTCAAGTTTCACAAAGGACCCCTTGGTACTCCAAGTCCTCATCATCACACCAAATGCTCAAACAAAAGTCCTGGGTTGCACCCGTTTGGCTTTGCTTGACCTGATTTGGGTCACATGCCTCTCTTTGAACTAGTCTCTGTGACCTTGGGGATGGAATTTACAAATAAAATTAACCTCTGTATTTGGAAATAGAGTGCACTTTTCAGAAAGCACACAGCCTGAGAGTGGAAAAAGGAGGCTCAAACGGAAGTTTGCAAAGTCTGTAATCCCAAGAAGGGGTAAAGGATGTCTATGTTGAAATTTCATTGCCACCTCCATACTTATTATTCATGAGATGGACTATAATGTTGCTCATCAACTCTGGTTGTTACAAAAATTTTCCTTATCTTGAGCCAAAATCTACTTCCATAACAATGACACATTCATTCTTGTCTACACATGAAGTAATGTGGAATGTTTACATCCCCTGAAGGTTCTCATTAATACATTCCACAACTATTGATTGATTGTCTACTATTCAAGGTTTAGAGAACAGCAGTGGGTAACAGTGGACAGTTGTTGGAGAGGTTACATACCAGGGGCAAGAGACAGAAAATAAATAAGCAAAAACATAAATAAATGAGAAAGAACAATAGTTGGCTATATGCCCAATTTGGATGTTTCCAATACTGTGCAGTCTTGGTATAAGGGCTTTTCGCAGTGCCAGCCTCCCTCTGCCTCCTCCAGGGCACCCGAGCATAGAAGGGGTCCAGCGTGTGACTTAAGCTCAGCCAGTCAGACGCTCTCTGACTCCAGAACTTGGGCAAGTACCACAAAGGTAGAGGGGATATTGGAGACAGTGGCAGCATTTAAATCAGATTTGTTATATCTTGAAAGAGCCACACTTGCCTTAATTTCTACCCACTCTCCAACCCTAATCCTTATTTATATAAACCCAAACCTCCTATCAATTAATATCGATTTGGCTTAAGATAGCCAGGGGTGTTTTCTGTTGCTTTTTCCCTGACTGGCATAATGAACATTATTTCCTACCTGAATCTCCTCTTCTCTAGACTGTGATATGTCAGTACCTTTGCCTTTCCTTGAGTAAGTCAGTTTCCAGTTAATTCTCCATCTTGAACTCTGACCATTGTAATGGGATGCATCCCATTACATAAAGTCACCACCCACACTTCCTCTCATTAGTAAGTGGGCCTTGAGGGAAGGTTATGAACACAGAATTCTATATATACTTTGACTTTCCTATTATTTGTTCCAAAACATCTTATAGGATTATTTGCATTATGCAAGCAATAAGTATGTATTTGTATTTTAATACTATTTTTAAAAATTGAATATTTTAATCAGACTATACCCAGAGATTTTGTTATATGCCTATAGGAGCATGCAGAAGAGGGGCAGAGTTTCTCTGAGGACAACAATGATGTTTCAGATTTCCCTTTGATTTTTCTGAAAGGAAATCACTATGTAAATAATTATGTTTTTGCTTACTTATCTCCTGTTGAGTAGCTCAGGCCTTGAAGGACAAAGACTCAGAGGTCTCCTTGGTGGTGACACTGTTTCTCTTAAATCTAGGCTTTGCTCCTTATAAAATGCTCCATCTAGCTTCCGGCATCAGCACTCTCTGGAGGACTTGTGCCGGGGGATGATCATCAAAAAGCCTCCACAGGTATCCGGACGATGCTGCGGTTGGGGCTGCATCCAGCCCACCGTCTCCTGGACTTGCCATAGGAATGAGGAGGGAGATGTCTAGGCTGGCATGTGCATACAGTGAGACAACGAATTTGACCGGATCTGTACTGTTGGAACTCAACCAGGAGTTGGGAGGGGTGCAAGTTGTAGCACTCCAAAATCTCATGACTATAGACTATCTACGGTTAAAAGAACATATGGGATGTGAACAGATCCCAGAAATGGGCTGCTTTAATTTGTCTGATGGTTCAAGTACAGTTGGACAATATCCATCATATCATAGATAAATTTTCACAAATGCCTAGGGTGCCTAAATGGTTTTCTTGGCTTCACTGGAGATGGATGGTAATTATAGATTTGCTTTGTTTATGTCACCGTATTCCTATTATGTTAATATGTGTGTGCAAATTAGTTAGTAGTTTAAAACCTATACATACTTAAGGTACTATACAAGAAGATATGTCAAAGAAATAATCAATCCTCCCATGTTTCCTTCATATGCTACATCTATAGCTTTTCTTCTTCCTTCCTAATTACAACCCTTAAATAGAATTCGTGCCTCATATCGAATTTACCGAGTATCATAATTCCTCCAGGTGGTAAAGATACCTCGAGACAAGTGCTGGGCATAGAAGCCACAGGGCATAAATCTGCAAAGAAGTAAAAAGCTAACCTTTGCAAACAATATGGCTTCTCTCTCACTTACCAACTTTACATTTCCCTGTATGGCCCCGGAAGATGACTGGTTAGCCAGAGACGGGTAAGATTCCTCAAGGGAGGAACAACCTAAGACAGGCACAGTCGCAGGGGGGCCATCAGGTGAGAATTTGGGGATCAACAGAGGTGAGGCTCAGAACCTCACCCCCCCTGCTTTGAGAGAAATCTTCTGCATCCGTGGATGTCTTGCTGCCCTTGTCTAGCCTGGATTAATACTTAGTCCATAGGCACACACCTGATCATCTGATCATCTACATTTGCCTTCTTACAGCACTAAACTATGTTTTCTACCTTTATCTTGCATCTACCTACCACTTCAGCATTTTATTAAAAATAAAAATAATAATAATAATAGGAGAAATGTGGGATCAACATATAAATCAAGTACAAAAATCAAATGAATATTCATATTTGACCTGATGGTTTATAGGTCATATTGCATGATCAAAACCGAAAGTTTCTGTGATGAATGCCCTTGTACTGTTCACCATGTAAGAATTTATTCACTATGTAAGAATTCGTTCACCATGTAAGAACTTGTTCGTTATGCTTCAGAAGATTGGAGACTGACGAGAATTAGGCTTGAGATGGATTAATGATTGTACATTGAGCGTTGACCCCCCTATACTGAATTTTGTTGTTGTTAACAACCATTTGATCAATAAATATGAGAGATGCCCTCTCAAAAAAAAAAAAAATGCTCCATCTGCCTGGGACAGTGTTCTTAGCCCAGCCCATGCCCTGGTCTTTCCTGTCTAAAGCCAGTTCATCCTGCCATTCCTGGCTTTGAAGGAATTTCTCAGGAGCCTTTTTCTGTCACTCCAGACTAGCTTCCAAACCCTGTTAGACACCTCTCAGCACCCTGTATTTCACCTTCATCATGATTCATTTGGTACCTAGCCTTCAACACCTTGAGGATAGGGACGCTATTGTTCATGAACAAACCCCCAACATTTAGCTAAGTGCCTGGCACATAGTTGTCAAAACCTCATGCACTGAATTGAATTAGTAGAGAAAAATGGAAAGAGGGAAAAAATTCACAGAAGATAGAAAAGATCCAGTATGAATGTGCTTCAGGTAAAACAATCAAGGAGACAGGATTGGAATGCCCATTCTTCTATTGTGAGCCCATCCCAATTCTGAGAGTGGCTGGAGAGTAACACCAGTACCATTTCTCTGAGGCATAGGAAGCCTTCCTTACACTTATTTGAAGAATAAATACCAGGTGGGCACCTCAATTTTAGGCAGTTGGGGCTCCCATCACTTCCCCTCTTTCTCCTCCAGGGCCAGCTCTCTGCCTGCCTTTCAGCTTGTCCATGGAGAAGCCCAGATGCATGAGTTCACAGACAGAGAGCCAAGCTCTTTCACTATCAGGTGCATGGCCACTCAGCCTCTGTGAGCCTCATTTTACTTACCTGTCAAAGAAGCAGATTACACTGAAGGACCTCGAATGTTCCTTCCACCTCAAACCCCCAGGAATCTAGTTTGGGTACAGTTGTGGCAGGATATTCCATCAAGCCTCAATCTGGGTAATGGAAATAAAACCAAGCCCAGCAATGCTCAAAAAGAAACATTGTTCTTTCATCCGCTCCTTGTAAATTACAACGGCAGAGGGGGCAACACCATGCCATTTGGGGTTTGAATAAACTTTGATTATGTTGGTATGCTTTTCTATTTCTCCCTCTTTTCTGATTATTCATCTAAAATGCAGGTTAGGCTGTGCATGTGTAACAAGTATTTGTGCTTTTTAGAAAGAAGCTGTGATGATTTGTAAATGTCTTCATTATGAGTTTGTAACATTTCCTAGATGTTCATCTACTCAGTAAAATTACTTCCTCAAAAAGCCCTGCCTGTGTATTTACTGAGTGCACTTAAGGAGAAAAAATAATCACGCAGACATTCTCTTCCATGGACCTCAAAAAGTGATTTAAGAGAGTCCCCTGGGAATAGAGATGGTAAAACCACTATTACAGAAAAAAAACATGAGGTCAAATTGTTCATGGGTCAAAAAAAATAATTATATTGCATAACTTCACTCAGAAACATAAGCAAGGTGTATTTTAGAACACTTTATAAACATCTAATCATTTTCAACTGTCAGTGCTTTTCCAAGTGAGGTTTTGGAGATAAATTTACACAACCATGCGGGTCACTAACGTTCCTGATCCTATGCATTGGTAACAAGAGATTGAACCAAAACCCCAGATTATAGGTATAAAAAAATATGTTGTAGGAAAATCACATCAGGACTTAAACATTTTACAACACCCACCAGTATGTTATAAAATTTTTATGGAAGTATAATAACACAGTTACCGAAAAGTCACTAATGGTAAGTGTATGGCTTGTTACATTTTTTACAAAACGAACACACTAGTGTCATGAGCACCCAGGACAAGAACAGAACATTTCCAGCTCCCAGCAAAGCCCTCCCTCTGCCTCCCTCCAGGCCCTTTGCCCTCCGAGGTGACTTTGAATGAAAGTCACCAGAAAAGGTACCTCTCAGTTAAGAATGGCAGGATGAGTAGGATTTAAACAGGAAAGGGTGGGGCCAGTGTCTCAGGGAGGTGGAGCATCCTGTACACAACAGATTGCTTTTGCCTGTGTTTGTATTTTATATGCATGAGTCATACAATATGCACCCTTTTATGCCTGGCCTCTTTCTTTCAACATTTTGTCTGGAGCTGTAAATCATTCATTCTCGTTACTATATTTCTGTACATGAATATACCTCAGTTTGTTCATCCATTTTGCTGTTGTGGGCATTGGTCCTTTTCGGTGTGGGATTATCACACACAGAGCTGTCCCACCAGTATTCTTATCAGAGGATCAGATGGAATATCCTTGGGTCGTTTGTCCAGTAGTTCTGAAGACAAGCAAATGAGTGGTCTAAAACCAGTGGACTAGAGCCGTGGTTTTCCAGCGGTCACCCAGAGGGGTTCTAAAAGCACAGATGGCTGGATCCCACCCCCAGAGGATCTGATGCAGTACATCTGTGGTGGGACCTGACACATTGCATTTCCAACATTCCCGGGTGATGCTGAAACTGCTGGACCAGGGGCCACACTTTGAGAGCCACTGAACTAGAGATATTTGTAAAGCTTTGCCTCTGCAGGACCAGCTATTCCCAAAGCCCTGGGTGAAGGGCACAAGCTGTCTGCAGCAATCCCTAATGCCCAGACTCATTTTCAAAATCTCTCCCACTTTGTATAGCTCTTACACAGAAAATTATTTCTTCCTTCCATAAGGGAAGTAGATCTTCCGGGTTGCCAGAAACAGAGATCCACTCAGGTTTCCTCAGGTGATTGTCTTTATAAGGAGAAATAGGGAGGAAAGAAGCCCAGGAAATAATAGCAGGAGTCACGCAGCCAGGACTTATACAGCGTGCTTGACAAACTTATTGAATAGATGAATCACATGAGGCTTCTTGGGACAATGCAGACCCTGAGCCAGAAGATCAAGGATAGGGCCCAACATTCCGCATTCCTACCCCCAATTGATGCTGACTCTTCAAGACCACAGAGAACTCAGAGCAGCCAGACGGTGGAGGGTGGGCCATGGGGACACTGCAGGAGGGCTGGTTATCTGCTGGCAGCTCTGAGGCCCATACAGTAACTCCAGAAGTCTCCCCTGCTCAGACTTGACATCTCCATTTCTGCTTTTCTCTGTAGCTTCTCCTGGCCTCCCCTACACTGACCCTCTTGCCCCTTGCTTCCCACTCATCATTGTCCCCTTACTTGTGGCTTCTCTTGCTGTGAGCTGTGCTCACTGCCTTCTGTACTTTTGTGTCTCTCCACTATCTGCTGATATCATTTCCACAGCTTGCATTCAAATTCCCCACAAAAGAAGAACTGATTGGGTCACAACATAGCCTTTCCTGGATAGGATGCTCCTGTGGGGTGGAGTTCTTGCACTTCAAAGGCCAGATCATACCTACCTGTGGATTAGAAATGCCAATCACTGGCCTCAGTAGTAGTAGCCTGAGAAACACAGGCATGGGGTACAAAGAATGATGATCTTATTGACGGTTCTCAGCCTTGGCTGCACATTAGAATTACCTACCAGATAATTTAATTGTAATAAAGTAATCATAAATTTAAAAATAGCCCAAGCCAAAGCTAAAACCATGGAAATTCTATTGGTCCTGGGCGGGGGGGGGGGGGGGGCGCCCAGGAATTAGTATTATCTACGAGACCCCCAGGTATTTCTAAACACCAGCCAGTGTTGAGACACCAGCCAGTGTTGAGACTTGCTGACGTTATGTTTCTAAGGCTGCCGTGACAAAGCACCACACACTGGCTTAAGACAACAGACATTTCTTCTTTCACAGACCTGGAGGCTAGAAGTCCAAAATCAAGGTGCTGGCAAGGCCGTGCTCCCTCTGAAGCCTGTAAGGGAGGACCCCTCCCTGCTACTCCCAGCTCTGATGGCCCCAGGCAGTCCTTGGCTGGCGGCAGCATAACTCCAGGCTGTGTCTCCATCTGCACGTGGCCATCTACTCTCTGACCACGTCTGTTTCCAAATTCCCCTCTTCTGTGAGAACACCAGCTGTATTGGGTGAGGACCCACGCTAATGACCTCGTCTTAACTTGATTACATCTGTAAAGATTCTATTTCCAAATAGGACTTCAACATGTTTGGGGACAGGGTTTTGGGGAAGGCAGGACACGATCAACCCATAACACTGACCTTATATAGGAACCTTTCAGAGGAGGTTACAGCTTAGGCAGGCATGCTAAGAGTGTTCTGAAGGGGGTCACATAGGTGACTATCACCTTGCATGACCTGTCTTTTCTTCATTCCCTACTGCTCACCCAAAAATAAAGCGACCACCTTGGAAACTGATGGTCTTAATTTTCCCACCCAGTTTTGAGAAAGCCATTCATTTGCTCCCCTGGACACTCAAGAAAACAAAACCCATACCCTTGGTGTCTACATCTGGAAGGTGGTTACTCCCAGCACCCTAATTTATTCTCAGACCATTTACAAAATTGCAAAGAGAGAGCATTTTGCTATCATGTAATTAGCATCACATACTTTGTAAGAAAATCACAACTCTTCAAAATACCAGAGTAGATCGAGCCAAAACAGGATCTTTATGACCAGAAAAATTTGGCAGGTTGGTCGGGCTTACTTCATAAATGATGTGGCTTTACAATTTTGCAGGAATGATGGGCTTCCCCTGTGAATATAAAGACATAAATGTGGAGAGATTCTTCGCATGTTACTGTTTGCATTTGACACTTAAGACTTTTGCAAATTACCCAGGAAGAATAATAATGTTCCAATATTACCTGAGAACTGTGTTAATAATGCTTCAAATGTAAATATGATTACTAGCTCCCACTCTTAAAAGTCATACAGTTACACAAGTAGTGGCCCAGAGCTGATTCCAAAAGCCAAAGATCAATTTGGTTTGGAGTTGGCCGGGCCACAAGACTACCCAGTTGCCACAGAAATCACATTTCCTGGACAGAAGCAAGTTTTAGCTGTGGCACTGGCCACACAACACATTCACCATGTTTAATGGTCACTAAGTGACCTGGGTCTGTATATACCACCGTCGCCTCTTGGGGGACCTTGAACATGATGGTTATCCCAGCACACCCTGCAGTCAGCCAGACCTGGGCTCCTGTCCCAGTTTAGTTGCTCACTGGCTTGGGCGCATCACCACCACAGCCTCAGCCTCAGGAGCCTAGCTGAAACATGAGAATCATACTGCTGTCCTCCTTGTCCTGTTCTAAGCTGAACTGCAACAAGAAATGAAAGTGCTTAGCACGGTGGCTGCCACGCTATATTCAATAAATATTTGCTGTTAACTGCTATCATTATTTCTGAGATAGCAGTCACCATGTGCTCACATAATTTATGTCTGCATATGTGCATTATCCAAGAAGAATGCCCCATGTGCCCCATCCATTCTCCCTGAACCAGGGTCCTGTTTCCCTTCTCTGTGGTGACCTTCCAACACTTTTTCATGCATCAGAATCAACCAGATAACATGCCGTGAGTCCACCTGTGTCCTGCACTCTGCTAGGACCTTGAGAAATACAAACTAACAGAAGACACCATCCTGGCTTCACAAGGGCTTTTGATTTTGTGATGATCGGAGAACCAAGCACATGCTGTTGAGGATCAAGAGATTTCATGGAAAAGCAGTTATTTGGGCTGAACTTTGGAGAAACAGGGGGAGGGTTTGGTGAGAAGCACATTCCAGACAGAGGGAACACATGAGCAAAAGCCCAGATTGCAGAAAGCAGAAACAACGTAAACCCAAAGAAACCAAAAAGAAATTAATTTTTTTAAAAATATAGAAAATAGTGCAAAAATACTATTGAAGAGAGAATGACTAAGAGTTTCTCAGCACTGAATAAAGACAGGTGCCCACAGATTATTCTGTCAGAATAAAATATTCTGACAAATAATCAGTAAAATAAGTCTTTTCTGTTTGTTTGTTTGTTTTTAATCTGCAAGTACATACACATGGTGAAACTTCAAAATGAAAGGATACCTTAGCGGTGGGTCACTTGGCTCGTGTGTCAATAAAAGGCAAAGAATGAACGAGCTGGGAGAACTAACATGCACCGCAGTTGGTCATGGCAGCCGTGCGCTCCTCCCAGGGCTTATTAAAAATAAAACTTTATAAAAAAGGAACAAAGATCAAACCCAAAAGCAATCTGAATGGAAAGCAGCTTAGCTACAGAAGACCAAGAATTAGATTGACGCGGGTTTGTCTTTAGTAACTTTGCTGCAGAAGTCATATGAGTAATCAGTATCTTCAGAGGGTTGAAGAAAAATATCTTTGAAACAAATTGAAATATTGTACAAATGGCTCAGTTCTTGAGCACTGGCTCCTTTGCCAGTTCTTGATGACTCTCTTTCCTTGTCAGAGAAGGAAATCAATAGCATACTATCATTTATTTGTATTTTGAAGCCACATCCAAGTGCTATGATAGAATATGAAGAGTATTCTGGAACTGAATTCAACCAGAGTAAATAGGAATCCATTCACCAGCTCCCCTCCAGGTAGAAACATCTGACTCCAGCCTCTGAGTGTGGTGCTCTTGTTGACTTTGTGTCCGACAAAGGGCTGAAGGTGGCCTTTCGGGAGAAACCTCCATAATTTCTGCCTCTGTCCCATCCAAGTATGCAGATCCATCGAAAGAACAGCCAAACACTGACTGTCATTGTTGTTGTGTATTGTGATATAAGAATTTCTAATTTTAGAAAGACAAAAAGAAGAAATTGAGGGAATCTTATGGCACAACTTTTTATCCTTGCACTTTGACAAGAGCACAGACAATACCATCTCACTGATATGAAACAATTATTTTCATTTCTTTTTAAAAACCATATGCTTCGGGTGTACTATTGAAGATTATGTTGAATTGTGTCTTTTTAATTTACCTATAACCAACAATCCTTTTGAATAATAACATCCAATAAATGATTTACAAATGACAAAAATGGCAAACTACTGACCTAGAAAATGAAGTCTAAACTCCTAATGTACCAGTCTCCTCACGTGAGACTGCTTTGGGTCTGTCCCTGAGCCACCTCTTCAGGGTTATCTGCCTCTCACCCTGCTCTCCAGCCTCACCAGATGGCCCATGCTTTCTAGAATGCACTGTGCTGCCTCGCACCTCCACACCAATGATCACCAGCCTGAAACATCTTCCCCTCCCCTAACCCATTTACTTCCTTCCCTAGCTACCAACTCATCATCAAAACCAGTTCGGAGTCCCCTCCCCTACCTAGTTTTGCTAACATGCAAAACCTGATGATTTTCTTTTCTTTTCAGATAAGGAAATCAATAGCATACAATTATTCATATTTTAAAACCACATCCAAATGTATGAAGAATACTCTGGAACTAAGTTCAGAACTAGCTTCTGTCAGCCTAGGGTCTCTGGTGTTCAGACCAGGACCTGCTGGACTCGGCGATGTGTACAAGAGGGCATCAGCACACAGCTTTCAAAAGTCACTGTGAGATCCCAGATTATACAGGGAAAGGAATAATTCACCATCCAGGGTTCAGTGGTCTAGCTGGGTCTGCCCTTGAAAGGAACCATAGAGAGAAGGAAATTTTAATTCTAAATTCAGATCTTGCTTCGAAATAATTTTCAAAAGCAATGCATGCCTGGCCAACATGGGATAATGAGCTGAAGTCTCTCTGAAGTAAAACAGGTGGCAGTTTCAGAGAACAGCATCTGCTTCCTGTTTCCCAAATGATTCTAGAGTGGGTGTTTTAGGAAAGCAGAGGGACTGACGAACAACAATGACAGTTCCCATGTTCCCTGTACTTTCCCAGGGGAAGGCATAAAGCATCAAAGTAGCATGACACCAAGACGTTCCCAGAAAGGGCAGAAGAAGAAAGAGCAGGGCACCTCCTGTAGCAAAATTGATTTCAAAAGCCAAAGTAACTCTCAGCCCCGGTGATCTGCACATGGCAGAGAAGTCCTGCCTTTGAGCAGAAAGATCCCCCTGTGAGGGATGGGACAAGTTTCCTGGTGTTCTACCTACCCCAACTTCCTAGGAGACTTGTGTCCAAAGATCCCCTGGCAGGTAATATGAGAAAAACCCTGAGATTTTGCTATTGTTCTTGTTTTTTGCGCAAAAGCAAGCTCAGAAAATTCGGACCAGGACAAAGAATGAGAGTTTGTCATTTTAGTGCATTTTAATGCAAATATCCAAAACATTTTCTCTAACTTTGTCTTCAAAGTTCAAGCCTATTAGAATTTGAAAGAAGAGAACAACGATCGACCATGTACCATTTTCCCAGACACACCACTTACCATCTTGTCACATTTGCTTGTTTTTACTGAAACTAATTGAAAGTGAATCACAGACACTGTGAAAATCAACCCTGAAATGTTTAAGTATGTGTCTTCTAAGCGTATTCTCCTACACAGCCACAAAAGAAAAAGTGAGGTGCAAAAGGAAAGGAAGCTTTACAAAGTTAGTATCACTGTAATAATATTAAAGACAGAGTTCATATTCACATTTTCCCAGATCTTCCCAACAATATCCTTACAGATTTTTTTTAATCCAAAATCCACACAAGGCTCACATAGTACATTTTATCTTCATGTCTATTTAATTTTCTTTGTTCTAGAATAGTTCTGCCACCTTTTCTTACATGATATTGGTCCAAACCAGTTACTTTGCACAATGTATCCCAACTGTATGTATTTGTGCGGCTTTTTTCCTCATAACAAGATCCAGCTTATGCATTTTTGGCAGGAATACCACGAAAATGAGGTCATGCCCATGTCAGTACATCACATCAGAGGTCACATGATGCAGTTTGTTCCGTGATTGGGGATGTTAACTTTGATTCCTTGGCTAACATGATGGCCCCTAGACAACTCCATCGTAAAGCTACTTTCCCTGTTCCATAATTAACAAGTAATCTGCAGTTTGATACTTCAAAGCTGAAGTCTGGAAAAGAGGAACAATTAATTACTGGAGGTGGGGTACAAACCATGATCCATCAACAATTCTGTGAAAGAAGAAAATTAATGTAGGAATGTTGGGGAGAAGAGTCAATGCTCTCCTGCACCTCTTCCCTTACATACACACACGCACGCACTCCAGGGATCCTTGGAGATGCTGGGAAGAGGAAATGATGGGGCCCCCAAGGTTTATGGGATGAGGGTTTGAACCATTCTACTTTCAAATTAAAGGAAAAGGTAACCCAGAAGACTGGAAGAATTGGTGGCATTGAGGTGGCAGGCACCCTAGTGGATTGTTTGCAGAAATAAACCCATTTGTTCTTGGCCCCCCTATACTCATGCCCCCTTCCCACCTGGGCTCTGAACTTGGCCATATGACTTGCTTTGAACAATGGAACAGTAACAAGCAGCACAAGTAGAAACTGAAAAAGTGCTTGCTTGCACATTGGGACTTGCCCACTTGTTACTCTCAGAAACTTGAGACAACCATGTGAATGAAGCCAGGTCAGTCTGCTGGAGGAAGAGAGACCACATGGCCCAGTCCCTCCTGTAGTCCCACTCTATAGCTGGAAGACCAGCATACATGTGTATGATGTTGCCCAAGACCAACTAGCCCACATCGGGTTCACAAGCTAACCTCAGACACATGAATAAGCCCAGAAGCAATCAGCCAAGGCTGGTTCAGATCAACAGAACTGCCCAGCTGGCCCACAGGCTCAGAGGAAAT